GAGGCAGCGGCCTATCAGTGTGCAAGTATCACTGGAGCTGGTTCAGTTTCCTGACAGTCTCCACTGCTGCAGCTGTAGGTACACGAGTGAGACCGCGTCAAAGGAGGCTCCGGTTTCAATAACTGGTTCATCCCTGGAGTACGGAGCTTTTTGAGGCTTCAATGAATTCTTAGTCAATGTTATGTGGCCAAGTAAACAAACCAGAGTCCTCAGGAAACTGTCGGGTAGAAGGTCTAAACTGAAGAGTGAGAGAAAAAGCAGCCAGAGGAAAAAGATTTAAAAAAGAAAAGTTTGACTCCTTGGAAAATGGAAAGAAACGAGGGAGGCTCACTACTTTTACACTGTATTTGAACTTTTCATCAAACTGCATTAAAAAAAGAAACAAATTATTATTGTAATAACAATAAGCAGTCATCAAGGGTCACTACTGGTTTGCCTTCTACAGGCTCATATTTACATCAAGCTTTCTCTTTATTCTTATTGGACATCTGTCACGTTCTCTTTAGTTTTGTTATTTTTTCCTTTAAATGTCGACTAATTCCTTGGATTAAATTATTTCATCTTATATATCTGCTTTGTCCTGTTGTATTTACAACGGGTTGTTTCTACCTGGACTGAGGGATGGGGCTAAGTGGGGGTAAACTGATAAAAGCAATTACAAGATATGTGAGTGTCATTAATCTGCATTTTATTATTTCACTTCAATCATTGTGAAACTTGTCTGTTGTTTAACAATTCTGTGTATCTGTTTTTTGTTGTTGCTTCAATAAAAATATCTTTGAGGAAAAAAATGTTACATCGACTGTCCTTTGATTCTTGTTTCTGCCATTTTACGGCATTTGATTTATTTGAAACAAACTGTTGTGTGCGGCGTCTTAAATGTTCACTAGATTGCACTGAGCCACAGTGAACGTTCATTTATAGTAATGCTCTTTATGTTTAGGACCATCTACATATGTAGTATCTTATATTACCAGGTTTCCACTGACCTACATCTGAGATTGTTTACTTAAAGTCATGAGTTTTTATTAAAAAAGGAGGGGGGCGCTCCCCTGTGACCGTGGGTACTCACTCTTGTGCACTGGCTTATGTTCAGTTTGAAATGTGTTTTTCAGTTGCGTAAGAACATGCGTGGGAAGTATGACTGGCAGCTCTGACAGCAATATCAACGAGAGCTTTATCTTCACACTGCGGCCGAGCCCACTCCCACTTTAGTCATTGACCCTGCAGCAGCTGCGCCC